CATACGCACCTCTAGATGAAATATTTATAGATACAGTAGGCAAGATTACCACTGCAATTAACGGACTACAGTATGTTGTGATAATTACAGATTCTAAAACTCGCATGAGATGGTCATTATTAACCCAATCCAAAGACCAGATTGCCTCTTCTCTTGTGCAGTGGATTGAATTTCAACACCATCATCATGGAAAGAAAGTCCGCGCAATCTTTAGAGACGGAGGCACTGAATTTTTACGCATTAAATCACACTGTGAACAGCATGGTATTCGTACTGATGTATCCGCTCCAGATACACCTGAGCAAAATGGAGTATCTGAAGCAGCAAACAAAGTAGTTTTAAGACTCGCAAGGTCAATGCTGATTGATGCCCGCATGCCTGCACTTTATTGGCCCTGGGCAGTTCGACATGCATGTTACATTGTTAATAGATTATACTGCTTACGCACTAAACAGATCCCATTACTTGATTTCATGCAAGGCCTTCATCAGCCGCACACTGGTCAAGTAGACCTTACGAACCTTCCAAGGTTTGGCTGTCGAGCATATAAACTAATACACCCGAAGCCAGGTAAATTCGAGCCCAGAGCAGCAAAAGGATGGTTTATGGGTTTCCAGGAAAATACTGACAAGAACTTCATCATTTATTATCCCCATTGGACAACATCACAGGGCTGGAAATGGATAGAAAATTTCACTCCCCATGCATCTTTCAATGAAGATATAATGTTTGGTGACGAGCTAAGTCCAATCAATCAGCAGAAAACAACGAACTACTGGGCCAGTGATAACTCATTATTTACAGAAACAATGAATTATCAACATAATCCTCCTTTAACTCCAGAACTTCAAACTCCAGCATCGTTTGAGGGGGAGAGTTCATCACCCACCACGCTAGAATCTGACTCTATTACACAAGATGCAACCGAAGATTCCGCATTAGCCGATAACATAAACAATCGGCCCAAATCAATAGTTCAAGAAGTGACTTCACTCTCGTCATCAGAAGAACAATTACCACCAACAGACATCAGAAATGTGAGTTCCCAAAGTAGTGAGCAAGGTTCATTAAGTGAATCGTACCACTCGAAAGATATAGCAGACTCCTCCCCAGAATCATACTTCCCTAGCCATTCACAGGAGCTTAGCCTGCAGCCAGAAGATGAGGGGGAGTCCAGTTCTGAAGAAGAAGCAGAGAAAACGCCATACGACAAGATCATGACTGGATGGGACCTTATACGCTCTATTGCTGGACAAAAACGAGCGCACTCACCAGAAAGGGAATACTCGCCGGAAAACGAGATCACAAGAACTAGGTATGGCAGAGAGGTTAAGAAACATGACTACAAACGTCTCCACTATGGCAAGGCAGCACAAATCTCCAACGATCCAAAAACCTGGAGCGAAGCCATGACTAGTCCGGAGGCTGTGCAATGGAAAAAGGCTACAGATGAGGAATTTCGCTCCCTCAAAGAAAAAGGAGCCATAAAAATCATTCGCCGCACAGAACTTCCACAAGGACGCAAACCTATGAAATGCAAATGGATATTTAAGAAGAAATTTAGAGCAGATGGCAGCATCGAAAGGTGGAAGGCTCGTTGTACAGCGAAAGGCTTTACCCAGCGTCAAGGCATTGATTACCATGAAACTTTCGCTCCTACACCACGACCGGAAACTGGTAGAATCATGCTTGTGCTAGCCCACCAATTTGGCTGGCACCGTAGGCAAGGTGATGTTCCAACCGCTTTCTTAAACCCTGACATTGACATTGACCTTTACATGGAAATGCCCCAGGGCTATGAAAAAGAAGGATGCATAATTCTCCTTCGTAAAGGACTCTACGGTCTCAAGCAGGCAGCAGCTCTGTGGTATGATGATGCCAAAGCAACCCTTGCTAGACTTGGTTTCCACCCAACTACATCAGACGTATGTCTATACACCAACGCCCACCAAGATGTATTCGTGGTTATGCATGTAGATGATTTCCAGGTGATGGGTCCTAACTTAGGCAAGATAGAAACACTGATGCAAGCTTTACACAAGAGATATAAGATAAAATCGGTGAGCACAGACTTGTTTTTAGGCATCCATATCAGTTACCCCAGAAAAGATACCCTAGCATTATCACAGGGTCAATACACACGCACACTAATAGATCGACACGGCTTAAAAGACTGCAAACCTGCTTCAACACCCCTTGAGCATCTATTGCTTCCAAGCGATAAAGAAAGCACACCAGAAGAGATTACAAGATACAACTCCATTATAGGTGGCCTGCAGTTTCTCGCGAATAGCACTAGACCCGATATCGCATTTTCTGTCAACCACTTGGCGCGATTTTTGACAAACCCCTCAGGTGAACATCTGCATGCAGCTCACCGGGTGCTAAGGTATCTCTCTAAAGAGCCAGATCGAGGAATCACCTTCAACAGATCAATAGGTAAACCCTCACTTAAAGCTTACACGGACGCAGATTTTGCAGCAGATCCATCAACAAGCAGATCAACTTCCGGATCGCTGATTATACTAACTTCGGGACCAATAAGTTGGCGATCCCATCTTCAGCGGGAAGTTGTTTTGTCTACAACTGAGGCTGAGTATCTTGCTGCCACCGAAACATGTCGTCAGCTACAGTGGACAAAATCGCTTCTGGAAGAGTTAAACATTACTGATCACATTGAGGGAGCAAAATGCACCAAGCTGTACGTGGACAATCAATCGGCAATTTCCCTTATCAAAAATCACGACAATCACAGAAGATCAAAGCATATCTGTCATGTAGAGACATGATTCATTCATGAGTTGATATTGTTCAGACGATCATGACTATATCACAACGTCATGTACAGACACGACTCATCGTTTGTACCTGTTGTATCAACCATGACTATGTCTCAGTGATATGAGAAACATCATTGACTAGTTACTAGAAACCTAATCAAGATCCTAAACACACAACTGAGACTAGGAGAAATTTACTGAGTAAGTAATTATTCTGATGAATCTAGATCTAGAGGAACACAATCTGGTTGCTTGGCTCGAGGTATATGAACCTGAGCATATCATGTATTATAAACTATATAGAAATCTATCTCAATCACAATCATCATCTTAATTCATGTCACCATCAATAGCTGCAAAGGACAGTTTAACCATTTCCTTATAATATCTCACTTAGGAACTTCTATTGTCGGGAGCAGCATCAAAATTGATTGATTGATGTGTCCTACGTGCCTTCTTCTGATCAACTAGCTGACTCACTGACCAAGGTTAAATCATCAGTCGCTATTCAATAACTTAAGGAGTCGTTACCAACAGGGGGAGTGTTGTGCCTAGACCCACATAGCTACAGTGCACAGCTCCAGTTATGATGGTCACGCGACTGCATGCATTTGCTCTCTTTGCTCCTGCTTCGTTGAGTTAGTATAATTAGTAAGCAATAGTCTAGGGACTATAAGTAGAGAGCTTTCCTCCACAGTAGATAGAGCAAGCAATACAGTCTTTCCTCATTCTACAGAGATCATTCTCCACTCCTCTTATTGACCTATCCGGCCCAGCAGCACATCTGTGATCACTAGCAGCGAACTCCCATAAATTGTATGTACACCCGAATCATAGACCTATCATAACAGAACTATATATTTTCTCACTAGAGATGTTTCGCTCTAAACCATGAGAAACTCGGTTCATGGGAACAAGTTGGGGACATATAGAGCATTTGCCATTTTCTGGACGTACATTATCTAGATAGTAACAGAAAGAGGAATGGCAGCCAGGAATTAATTAACACTTTTTACTTTTGCTTCTTACATTATTCAATTGACTCGTAGAGTCTAACAGAAGGTCATTTTTTTTAAATAATATTGTATTCAGCTATATAGCTATGTCAATTTATCTAATACTGTTCGGATTACGTTCTGATCAACGATTTCTAGCCTAATTGTGCTATGTTGCAGCCTCCTGTTCCAATTATTCATGGGGTCATCATCAGGGTTTTGAGTAGTTTCGGTTTTGGTGTGGGTTGTTAGATTGATACCTCAGCGTGTATCATAGTAGTCAGGCATGCGACTGAAGCAGCAAAATGCACGGTAAACCTCAACCCCAAAGTGATGATATGAATCTAGTTTTTCATGCTACGTCCTGTATGGCTAGCGTGGTTGAAATATGGGGAATTTACCTGTAGATAGATAAAGACGTTGTAGCCCTCTAATAGTTGGGATAAGTCTTCTACTAAATAATATCGGAATCAAACCTAGCCTCTCGTTAAGCAATCTTATCAAGCAATCTCATGAATCTATTTCCGTATCTGTGAGCCGGCAAAGACGAACTCTTCACCTTCAAGTGGTGCCGGTGTAATCGCTCAGTATGCTCTGCATATCTAAAGTCAACGACTTCTCGTCAATGTCGGATCTATCATTCTCATGCGAGTACTCCACCTCAATCTTACCACACCACACCACCTCTCCTCAAATACCAATAATGGCGTTTCTCAAATAGTAATCGGGCATTTGCCTCATCAAAAACCGGCCACCTCCTACTACAAAATTACGATGCTATGTATACCCGCGAGGAGGAAATTAAGTCATAAACTGGAAAGCTCGGGTCTTGGTCTACAGGGGACCGCTGCTCTAATAGGGCTTAATATCTTGAGGGAGTACCGGCAGCTGGGACGTGGGACGAACGAATGAAGAGGTCACAAATGGGCACGCTGGGACGCACATTTTTCGCGTGTTTTCGACTTACGAGTGTTTGTGGGCGCAGAAGCAACGATTTCGGATAGTGCAACCGACACTCTAGAAACAGGCAACGATGGAAGGTGTGTTGATCCGCCTCCTCGTCGTCATCTCCCCGAATTAAAGTCTGGGTAGCCTGGACACCTACCTCACTCGAGAAAGGAAGGACTATGAGACTATTTCTCGCGCGGTTACTATATGCAAAATGACAAAGGCATGTTAGGGTAGTCGAAGGATTTTCTTGTTTTCCCTTTGGTGGATATTAACGGTTGAGGGAAGGGTGAAAGTCCCTAGCGCTAGGGTCTCGAGTGGTATCAGCCAATGCACCCACTACACCCACTACACGAGTAGTCTAAATATCAGACTGAGTTATCGTCGTATATGGTCGTCGGGGAAGCTGGTCTTCTCTGTGTCATGTTCTTTGAGAGCAGGGCTTGTGCCCTTCACGAATAAAATTTCATATTACTACAACTGATCTTGAATCTTCAGGCAAATAATTAATAAGCTAAAATGGGGGACTATTCTCAACACCTGTCAGTGGTGTCCCCTACGAACCTCCAGCTCTCACTGTAAAGTATGCAGAGCCGAGATTAAGTAACAAAGTCCTCACCTCGACGAAGATTCCCAATCGTTTTCGCGGTCTGTATCGTCTTCATCTCTCAACACATTCCTCTATCGCCATTCTCATGAAGCTAACCACGATCATACCAGATGGTAGGGTTGGAGCCCTACTCATCACCAATCCTTGATCATAGAGGAAAAACTATCCGATGAGTTTCCGGAGCGTACCCAGCATCCGATACGGAGATGGCGGATTTGATCAATTCGACCTTGACTGTTACAAAAAGGGAGATATAGATGAATATGCGCGCCTCATGTGGTGCGGTGTCTAGGCTTCGCCTGGCTGGGGCTGCAGGTTTTTTGAGAATTTTTCCCGCGCACGCAGTTTCAATTGCTACCATTTTTATTTTTTTTGGGTAGAAGGTTCCGTGGAAAAGGTGGCCGAATTCCACGGGTAAACACTGAGCTGAATGGCTATTCATCCCGGGCAATATATCAATGATCTTACAAGTAACAAAAGAGGCAAGGAGCACTGTACAAGGTGTGTCCTGGGTCAGAAAGGAGCCCAACGTGCTTGATAGTCTGTGACTCAAGTAGTACAGTAAACACAAACACTAAGCTAAAATTTCAGCCTTGGCAAAAGACAAAAGCTAAACAGTATATCTCACTTTTTTAGTTATGTATGTGTTTATTGTCCTGTAAAGTCTATACCTATGTAAGGACATGTAGGTCTTTTTTGCCTATAGGCTGGGACTATCTATGCCTCGGGTAGTGTACTCCCTCCTATGCCTCCTTCGCGACTTCTTTCCAGTACTTATACCCCCACAGGTTTTTATTCGAGTACACACTAAGAGGAGCCGTTATCCCGGCATTATCTCCCCTCTCCAGCCAACGAAACGATGGCCATTTGCAGGTGTGTAGCTGCAGGGAAAAGTCTCAAAAACTACTGGGTGCGGGGCTCTCCCATGACGAAGAGGCCGGCCAGCCGGGCGCAGCAGACCTGTGTATACCTAAGAGCGTCTCTCAACCTTCCTAGCCTCCTTCTTCCTCCTCCCTTGATTCATGCCGCAGGACAAACCGAAGGTCGTCAAAGGATGTCGGAAAAGTCTTAGTCGAGAGTGACTGTCGTGAAAGAGCCTAGCCTAGCATCTAAAAATCGTTACGGACGTGGAGTCGTCGGATAACTCATGTATTTCAGATGCCCTCCCAGCTAGTATATTCAGAATTAAAGGTTAGAAGGTACGATATAATCGACGAGTCGATATCTGCATTTCTTGAAGGCAGAATGGTCTTATGCTTTGCTTTCATGGGCCTTTTGTTTGCGCGAGGGTGGGTAGCACATGTTGTGATATAACGAGGGCTTCTCTGACTACCGTTGTAGCGTTTGGTACCGCATTATCCTTCCTCATTCCTAGCATCATTATCCTCGTCTTTCTCGTCTTATGTATCATCGGAAGTGTATCTTTGACGGGGGGGAGATAACTCAGCTCAAAGTTGATAAAGTGTAACTCAATCTCGGCTCTGCAAATTCTACAGTGAGAGCTGGAGGTTCTTAGGGGACACCACTGATACGTGTTGAGTCTCGCCCCCCTATACCTTCCACAGTACAATATTAAATGTCAGGAACAGTTCAATCTATTCATGTGGCTGTCCGGGTCGGAACGTCTCAAGGTCCGACACGATTTTTGGACGCTGGGCTTAGCTACCCAACGGTAATTGCTCTCGACGGAGTCATTTCTACCACTCTTTCACGATTTTTGGGTTATCCTGCGTCGATAATCAGGGAAGTTATAAGGGAGGGTCTAGAAAGATATAGAGTAGCGATTAGGTGTTTTCGGATCTGCTACGCCAGGCTGCATGACCTCTTCGAACATTTCAGAAGCGTAGCTACGCCTCTGGATTTAGTTCTGATATCGGTCTTGTAAGAGGCCCGCACCCAATAGTTTTTGAGACTTTTCCCACAAGCAACACGCCCTCATGTTTCTATCTTTTGGTTGGCTGGCGAGTAGAGATAATGATGGAATTAAGCTTTCTCAAAGTAAGTACTAAAGCGAAGACCTATGTGTAATACTGCTAGAAAGTAGCTGTGACGGAGGCATAATACTCCCGGGCTGTAGGCAGAAAAAAATTACTTACCTCGTTGCATCCATAGACTCTGTAGGATAATAAGCACATATAACCTAATGTTTATTTCCGTATTTGCCCTTTAATTTGGCTAGCATAAGTTTTCTATCGTATCTGTACATCACTTGCATCAAAAACCTGAAATGCCAGCCCTTATATCTTGTTATTTGAAGCAGTAATCTAGTAGCAATTCATTTGGTATACATATAAGGATTATCATATGTTGGAGTTTTTCAGGCACATACGTTGTGAAACCTCTGAACTAATGATAAAGATGTCTTGGTATCATCAGTTAGCTTCACCCAATTGTTCATGTAATAGTGCACATTGGTTATTTGACCAGATGTGTGGAGGGAGATATCCGACTCTGCCGTGAGCCACAATGGCGTGAAAATCTTTTGAAATTGGCAGCAGGTCTTCAACTCTCGATACCCAGCTGCCAAAGACCGTCGCCTAGGTAGTGTCCGTCTTCAACTACTGGCCCTTTACCCTTTGCCCTAACTTCTTGCGTGCCAATGATGAGAAGCCCGACGGCACAAGCCTCTTTCTTGCCCTCGGCACAAATTACAACCGGCTCGCCTTTTTGAAGCTCACGTCCACCATACCATCCTTCACCGTTTTCTCCAGCACCCACTTCTCCATATGCTCCTTCCTCATCATTCCCCGGCGGCAGTCGTCCGCCTTTCGATGTAAGACCTGGTGCCATAAGCGTAGCACCAGAGAGCACAAAACGAATAGCGCCACGGTCTATACGTATACTGGGAAAGCAGGTAGGGAAGCGGTGGACTAGTTTAAGGTGTGGTAATAATGTATCATTCATGTGCTGGAAAAACAGAGGGATTCCAATCAGTGAGGATGATGAGGATAGTAGATAGAGGACGACTCTATCAGGACTGTTGCGCTTGTTAGTCTGCCAAGCTCAATCTCAATTTCATGGCAAATCTGATGTATGTAGACAATTTAAACAGACGGATAGCTTAACACACATCTTCATAGCTTCTAATTGCTCCTTTTTTGGAACTATCTCATCAATGTATGGTGAAAGCAGTGGATAAGTCTGTATGAGCTGTGTACGGAGCGAGCGTTGAACTGACGACTTGACTTTGGACTTAGATCCGGGTGTGATACTATATGAGATTTGAGCAAAGGTCATTCACAGAATTAGTGATTAAATCTTACTTCTTTTTAAACATCTTGCAGCTTAACTAGCTAGAATTGCCTTGGTTAATTGGATCAATGTGGAATGGAGAGAATTTTGCTGCCAATTCTTGAGACCCTTGATCGGGCGAGCGAGACACAAGGCTGTTAGATCTCGGAGAAGGCTAGCAATTCTATTATTGGTAACTTCTGTGCATAGAATTTGATCGATCTAATTTTGCGCTAGCTCACATCCCCGCTTCTTATATGTACATTTATTTATGAACACCTCATTTCGGCAATTGAGACTGCTTTATTATCTAGCTACGCCGGTCAAATCGTTCAGTACCAACTGCATATCTGGCATAGACAAGAAAAGCTGCATTCAAATCGAAGTTTAAGGAAAACATCAACACATCCAAAATCGACGAGTTCTCACCAGTGTTGGACCAACTTCTCCCATGCGAGTCAAACTCAATTTTAGCAGAAATCACCTCGCATCAACGATCGATCAAAGAGCTGACCAAATTGCAAACAAGAGCTTGCCTTATTTATGATCTGACATCCCTACTATAAAGTTAATATGCTATGTATACCCGCGAGGAGGAAACCAAGCTATAATAAATAAAGCTCAATTGTTGGCTTGTGGGTAATAGGTGCCCTTGTGGGAATATGCAACTTGAAGGAGATAAAGTAGCTGGAACTTGGAATAAGAGAAGGAAGAGGTCACTAACGTGCATACATTGGTTGGCATTTTGAGAAGGTTCCGACTTTGGGATCTTTTTGGGCGCCAAAGCCAAGATTTCGGAAAGTGATACGGACACTAAAAATACATAATGCATCTTATTTTTTTATTTCTTTGCATCAGATTTTAGTTGCGTATGCAGCTATCTAGCTATGACACAATTTCAAAGAAAAATACAAAATAGATGACTCAATATACACGAAGAACATTCATGCCTGGGATTTTATTTGCAAGCACCACTGCGAAGTTATGGTGGCTTTTTCTTTAACCCAAGTCAACCCTCATCCGTGTATGCCCACCCAGGAAAACGTCTCAAAAACCCTGAGTTACCCAGATATGCCTCCATCATCTTTCAACTTTCCTCCGCGCGAAATGTGGTCTGAGATGTCTCGTTCCCAGGTGGATTAGATGCCCAGGCTACTCAAACTATACCAGAGAACACCACCAGGAGGCGGACCACGGTACCTTCCATCGTCGACTTTTTTTTTTTTTTTTTTTTGAATCATTTAATGTGTATTCAGCTATCTAGCTATGACACATGACCGGTGCTATGTATACATGTGGGATGACTCTTTTGACGTTAGAGACACTCATACTCTGGATTTCATTTGCAAATACCACTATGAGGTATGTTTGCTTACACAAACAGTCGACCCTCCTCCGTTAGTACCCACCAAAGGGAATTTAAAAACCTTTAGTTATCCAAGCATGCCTTCGTCATCCATGCACACCAGCGCCGCGAGAAATGTGATTGTGTTTTGCCGGATTCGAACCAGCGATCTACTGTCTCAAGTGGGATATGTGTCCAAGCTATCCAGACTCTACTTGGCAGACCGGCCAAGACGATGTACCACCGCACCATCCAACTATGGCAGTATTTATAGTGTCGCCTGCACTCCCATCGTCGACTTGTGTTTACAGTGTCAGCTGCACTCTCGTGAACGAAGTCTTAGCGCACAAGAAGCTCAATTCGTGAAGATTCTTGCCCAAATTCAGTAGTTCACGCCCATTGAAGTTGTATCCTTCCTTTGCATCATCTTGTGAACTTGCCCTGATTCCTCTCACCTCCATCCAAAATAACTGTCCCCCAGATTTGTGGGCCACGTTCTGCTTCCTCCTGCGGGTATAAATATCGATGTGGCCGTGTATTTGGTGACCAGCTGAGGCCAGAGAAAGTCGACGAGAGGCGTGGTCAATGGAATGAGGATTTACCTGGTCGTACTTGTAGACTTGATGACATTAGGTATGAGTCAGACTCGTTGGGTGCGAAAAAAACGACGTGGAGTATTTTGATTCATTGCCTCGTGGGCCAACTTCTATCGTATTGCGAAATTTGACTGAACTTGGCTCTGGGAGAATAACTCACTCTTAGGTTCGTAGTGGACACTGTATATAGGTGTTCAGTCTTGCCCTCCAATCTTACAAAGAAGGGAGATACAGATGAATATGTGCACCTCGTGCGGTCCCTGTTAGGAACGGACGATTCGCATTAGTCACATGACCTCGCTTTATCAAAACAGCGACCCACTGTAGCTAGATATTTTGTACACTTCTATATCGTTTCTTAGTAGATAATTTCACTCTACAAGATTTGACCTCGCATCCACCTTTGTAACGATGGATGTACAAGGAGCGTTCGACGCTGTCCTACACAACCGGCTACTATGGTGAATGCAGGCACAAGGCTGGCCAGATTCGGTACTACGATGGACATCCTCCTTTCTCAAAGGGGGGAGGGTACAGGTACGATACCAGGGAGGCATGACCAGCCCGAGATCTTTGAGGCTAGGGGTGCCACAGGGATCACCGACCTCTCCGTTGCTCTTCCTGTTATACATGGCCGAGCCCATACGAAACGGGAACTGCAGAGCACGATTTAGCTATGCGGACGACATTGAGATTCTCGGCATTGGTTGCTCGTTAGCCAAGTCTGCGATGGTGGCACAAGGTGAGGTCGACCATCTTCTGAAATGGGCTGAAGAGAACGCGGTTTCGTTCGACCTCGACAAGTCTGAGGTGATCCAATTCAAAGGGAAAAATCAGGGCGAATCGGTAGGAATACAAGTTGGCGGTAGGCTAGTCCAGCCGGCGGAGCATATTCGCTGGCTTGGAATTCACCTTGATCCGCGTCTCACCTTCAAGCATCATGTAGCGACCTGGTGCGGGAAGGCCCTCAAAGCTGCCCAGCACATGCGGCGACTTAACCCACTTTGTCGAGGAGCGGCCCCAGGTCCTCTGGTTACCGCCATCGACTCATGCATCTCACCAGTAGCAACATTTGGAGCGGATGTGTTGTGGCCCGGACAAACACGGCCAACGAAGAAAGGTATCTCAACGCCACAGACTACACACCTGTGTAGTCTGATCGACAAAACCATTCGAATAGCTCTACGTGCCGCGTTACCAGTCTGGAAGACCTCGCCTAATGTCCTTCTTCATAGGGAAGGGGGCATCCCACCGGCGAAGTTTCTCCTCGAAGGAATTCGACTCCGTCTAGCAGCCAGGATCCAGTCGCTCGATGACCGGCACCCTCTCCAGAACCGCGCAAGAGAGTGCCATAACGTTGGCTCGCAAAAGTACAAGCTAAGGAAGAGATTCAGGCGCCAACCAGAAACCCAGATGTCGCGCCTACAGCGTGCTTTTTGACAGCTCCCGGAGTCATCCGAAGAGGCAGAAAGGCTGTCAGTCCCAGTGCACACATAAAGTCTTGGAACGAAAGAAGAGGGAGTCAAAGTACACTACAACTGTGCTAGCACGATCTCTCCCTCTGACATATGCGCCTACTCTGATGGGTCATCTGAAGGCTACGGACGATCCTCGTGGGGATATGTCCTCCAACGCGGAGGACAAACAATCGCAAAAGGTCACGGTTGTCTACATGGCGGTGAAGTTTATGATGCAGAAATTTCAGGAGCAGCAGAAGCACTTCGGGAAGCTATGCGCGCTCGAAAGAACCGTGAGAGTATCTTCGTTCTTCTTGAAAATCAGGCAGCTTTACTTGCGCTTCGGACGGGGAAGTTATCATCGTCGCTGCAGATAATCTGCGTCTTTCACAAGTTCTCTTCAGAAGCGAACGCGACAGTGAGGTGGGTACCTTGACACTTCAATATTAGTGGCAACTAGGAAGCGGACGCAGAAGCCCGAGATGGTCTTCAGCTGCTGCTAGATAGACAGACGCAGCCAGTGTAGACAACGCAGGCATACATACGCCGTTTGATGCACAATTTCCGACAGAAACTGGTGGAAGACTGGTGAAATAAGTCGGGTCCGGACAGATATCGAGACCTGGACTTGCAGATGCGACGTCGGAAACCACCAGAACTAGGTCTTTCTCGATGATTACTCCATAAGCTCCTGGCAGCAAGATCAGGACATGGAGACTTTGCGGACTATCATCGCCGCCTGAACCACGAAGACGCGAAACTGGAATGCGTCTGTAGACAAATGACAACGCCAACTTATTTTGTCCGATGCCGGAAGAATGATCCTATAATGCGCAGGTTGAGGAGATCCATGACCTTGGAGGACTATACCAACCAACTCCTTGGACCGGAAGGTCTCGAGAAGTTCATAGAATTTGTAAGCCATACCCGCTGCTTTGGGAGCATGGATACAGATCTGCCCTCAGCTGGATGCAAGGGCCGGAGTGATTATTTTGTCAGGACGAGAGAAATGACTTAGGGGGGCATGGGATGAGAAATACTAGCACCGCTCCTACATGTTAATTTGCTTTGTTTCAGTTGGTTTTGTTTGTTATTTCTTTGGGTTTTTGGTTGTTTGTAATCAGAGTCACATAGTGACAGTGTGGTGGGAACGAGTAGGGCATAGCTATTTAGGATAATTCTTAGCCCACCAGTCCCGTGCCATTGGGCGCTGGGCTGGTGCCTGGGATCTTGAAATAAATCAATCAATACAATCACACAATTTTTGAAATTCGAAAATTCTCTTTTTTCCCCTCTCCATCCCTCTCGCGCTCGTCGCATTCAATCAAATAATTGTGATCGAGTCACTGGCATTTTCATCATGCCACCTGTTCGAAAAAAGCGTCCCAACGCCAAGTTGGACAACACGAGAGTCCACCTGAGGGCTCTCGAAAAACTACCTGGCCTTGCCCAGTCTCCGAAATGCGCGGAGATGAGCAAGGTCTCTACTAAAGGGAAGGAAAAAGCCTTCCCCGCCGTCACAGAGCCCGATACTGAAATGATCGGGTCAGTCGAAATTGTTGAGGAAATCCCTTAACCATCCTCCGTCCCTCACAGGATTAGAGAATC